AACTCAAACCCAGAGGTATCTAGCATACATTTAAATAGAATTGCATGGCAGTTATAAGAATTTTAAAAAAAGACTGGAGGACACACAATTTTAAGTGATTGCAAATGGAAAGGGTAGAAGCTTACAGACAAATGGTAACTAAAGATCTCAAAAGAATCAATACAAGAACAGAAACAAGTTAGTCCAAGATAATGATCAAATTCTGTATCACAGAAAAAGGTGTTTCTAAGGTAAATGAAAAATTTCTCTCTAAATATTAGTAGAGTAGAAAAGCACGACAGAACCAAAAGTCTTTGTGATGAGAACTAAGTTCAGCGTGCACTTGTTAGAGGTGTCACTGAGAAAGCAAGAAATGTAAAGACAGACCCTGAGAAGTATAAACCTAAGTTATCTACAAATAACCAAAATGTGATGTTTGTAGGAATTAGTGCACAAAAACCTTTCAGATGCAAATATATGTGTACCTAAATCTGAACACTATGGAACACCCATCAATAGATCATATGAAGAAAAATTAGAGAAGCACATTAGCTGGAGAAAAGAACCAAAGATATAACCCAAACCAGGGGAAAATTCCTGACAACCAGAATAATATTGCAAGAAAGGTCTACAGGATAACCAAGATGTGACTACAAATGTTTGCAACTGGTACCTTAATATTATAAAAACGATTCAAATATATTTTATAGAAATAAAAAGATCACTGTTAAAGCTTCAGCAAAAACATGAGTTATCGAAGCCTTTATCAAAGGATTTTCATGCCCACACATTGATTGATTGATCTAAAATATACACTTAAAATACTGTAATGAAAATATTACACAAGCAGAATGGAGGGAATCCAGAGGCTCCTTTCTTTTAAAACAAAAAGTGAATGGATTTAGCCTTATGGATTTCCTAAGCCTAGTGAATAACATGCACAATGCTAAGGAAGTGGGACATCATGACAGTTTTATCACTGTTTGAATAATCTTAAAATTGAAACAGCAAAGTAGACAACATGTATCTTGCAATAGGTAACTTGGCAAAGTGTACAAAAGCAAATAATTCCTCCAATACAAAAAGCCAGGACAGAGAACAAAACTATAACCTCGAAGGAATAAGGCTCTGATATAGAATACCACCATTCTAGATAATGTAAATGCTCAAAAATTAACAGACTCCATTTGCATTGTTAAATGAGATGAATAATTTGGTCATCTTTCCAGATTGTCTCAGTTCTCCAGGCATTTTTCCCCCAAAAAATATCTGTTTACATGAGTTAGATTAGCCTCAGGACTGTATATTGAACTTCATTTTGAAATTAACCTGTGAGTTAGGATTTACCGTAAATAAAAATGACGGATCTGGTAGAAGGGAAATGGCTTAATTTACAGAGTAGCAACAGTTTTCTCTATAGAAACTAAGATCTGTGTTATAACGTAAATGCCCTGCACTACTTTTTTTACCCCCTCCACCACCCAACACACACTAGGGATTCAAAGGACTTGGAGGAAAAAAAACTGAGCTGTCCCTTCTGAATTTCAAATAAATGGGCATGAAGAGGGTTGATAACGAAGGCATAAGACTGTTCTTGTAGTAAAGGAAAGTACTATGGAAGAGGAAGCATATTTCCCCCCTTTTCTCCATCTAACAAAAATGTGTGTTAACTACTCAAATTCAAATCTGAAGGATTTGGATGTGTGGCTTTTTTTAAATTGAGAGATGGGTCCAAAACCAAACTCGAGCTTCAAAACACTTGTGAACTTATATTTTTAGCTTTTGATAGTGCTGAATTATCACGATAATGTTAAAATTAAAAAATTAATACATCTTATAAACCAGTTATAGAGTTAAAACAAATTAGTCTGAAATTCAGGACTCAATAAAAGGAAGCCAGACCATTAATTGTTTATCTAAGAAATGTGTCCCAAAAAGCCAATCTATAGCAGCTAAAACAACCGAAACATCAGAAGTATCATTATGGGAGTAAAGATGCAAGACCATTTGTATCAGTGACTGCAGTTACTTGAAAAAATAACTGAACAACCTTAAGGAAGGAAGGAAGGATGACACACTGGTTTTGTGGCTAGTGAATGGGACTAGAATTCAGGCGGCCTGGATACTAATTCTAGATGTGCCAATGAGCTCCATTGTGACCTTTTGAAAGATTAACTTTTCTGTGCCTCAAAGAGTTTCTTGTTTGTACAATAGGGAAAATACATACCCTATTCTTACCTAATAACGTAATCAATTAAAGTACTGATTACAAAACCCTTAGCATTTTATAACCCTTCCTATCTGAATATCTATCTATTAAGCACATTGTAACTAGGGCTTCTGTTTTTCAGGGCTTATTAGTTTAGTTGGAGTGGAGGGGGTTATTTTAGTGAATGTTGAGTTCTATGTTGGTGCCCAAAAATTGTGGGTGGGGGAGGGAATCGGGGTGCTCTCTTTGTATATACTTTACAATGAGATTACTACTTATGGTATACACTTCTGTAATGAGTAATGTTCCCTAGTGCCCTATAATGTAGTACTGTTTCAAACAGCATTACTTTGAATTAGGCTAGGGAACCTTTCATGTGCACCAGCAGGGCCTACTCAGTTCAATTAATGTGCAACACATTAGTGTGGTTCAGAAATCAAACCCCCACACTCTGCAGTACCACTCAGTGTACACAAGTAATAAGTAACCATTTCCAGTTTTATACTGGTCTTCATTGGCTAAACCCCTCTTTATTTTGGACAAGAAGCGTTTCATCAGTTAAAATGACAAATCAGAAGTCCTACTTATAATTAAAACAAAACTTGATTGGTCCCTTATGTAACTGAACATCCAGTGTTACACTCAATACTGCAGAGTTATCTTTTCTCAACACAGGCATCATGTCACCCTTGCTAAGAGTTCGCAAGACATAGGCTTGCTAATTCAAACCACAATGTGTGTATATCAACATGTGTAAACAGGAAGGTCAAAGCACAATTGGAGTTGCAGCTAGCAAGAGATGTGAATGGTAACAAGAAGGGTTTCTACAGGTATGTTAGTAACAAGAAGGTCAGGGAAAGTGTGGGACCCCTACTGAATGGGGGAGGCAACCTAGTGACAGACAACGTGGAAAAAGCTGAAGTATTCATTGCCTTTTTTGCCTCAGCCTTCAGACAAGGTCAGCTCCCAGACTTCTGTGCTGGGCAGCACAGTATGGGGAGGAGGTGAGCAGCCTTCAGCAGTGAAAGAACAGGTTAAGGACTATTTAGAAAAGCTGGGCATGCACAAGTTCATGGATCTGGATCTAATGCATCCAAGGGTGCTGAGGGAGTCGGCTTATGGGATTGCAGAGCCATTGGCCATTATCTTTGAAAACTCGTGGTGATCTGGGGAGGTCCCAGACAATTGGAAAAAGGAAATTATAGTGCCCATCTTTAAAAAAGGGAAGAAGGAGAATCCGAGGAACTACAGACCAGTCAGCCTCACCTCTGTCCCTGGAAAAATCATGGAGCAGGTCCACAAGGAATCCATTTTGAAGCACTTGGAGGAGAGGAAGGTGATTAGCAACAGTCAACATGGATTCACCAAGGGCAAGTCATACCTGACCAACCTGATTGCCTTCTATGATGAAAGAATTAGTTCTGTGGATATGGGGAAAGCAGTGGACATGACGTACCTTGACTTTAGCAAGCCTTTTGATATGGTCTCCCACAGTATTCTTGCCAGCAAGTTAAAAAAGTATGGATTGGATGAATGGACTTTAAGGTGGACAGAAAGCTGGCTAGTTCGTCAGAATCAATGGGTAGTGATCAACGGCTCAATGTCTAGTTGGCAGCCGGTATCAAGTGGAGTGCCCAGGGGTTGGTCTTGGAGCTGGTTTTGTTCAACATCTTCATTAATGATCTGGATGATGGGATGGATTGCACCCTCAGCAAGTTCACAGATGACACTAAGCTAGGGGAAGAGGTAGATATGCTGGAGGGTAGGGATAGGGTCCAGAGTGACCTAGGCAAATTGGAGGACTGGGCCAAAAGAAATCGAATAAGGTTCAACAAGAATAAATGCAGAGTCCTGCACTTAGGACTGAAGAATCCCATGCACTGCTCCAGGCTGGGGACCGACTAGCTAAGTGGCAGTTCTGCAAAAAAGGACTGGGGGATTACAATGGACGAAAAGCGGGATATGAGTCAACAGTGTGCCCTTGTTGCCAAGATGGCTAACGGCATATTGGGCTGTATTAGTAGGAGCATTGCCGGCAGATCGAGGGAAGTGATTATTCCCCCTCTATTGAGCACTAGTGAGGCCACATCTGGAGTACTGCGTCCAGTTTTGGGCCCTCCACTACAGAAAGGATGTGGAAAAATTGGAGACAGCCCAGCAGAGGGCAATGAAAATAATTGGGGGCTGGGGCACGTGACTTATGAGGAGAGACTGAGGGAATTGGGCTTATTTAGTCTGCAGAAGAGAAGAGTGAGGGGGGATTTTATAGCAGCTTTCAACTACCTGAAGGGAGGTTCTAAAGAGGATGGATCTAGACTGTTCTCAGTGGTGGCAGATGAAAAAATAAGAAGCAGTGGTCTCAAGTGGCAGAGGGGAAGGTCTAAGTTGGATATTAGGAAAAACTTTCACTAGGAGGATGGTGAAGCACTGGAATGGGTTACCTAGGGAGGTGGTGGAATCTCCATCCTTAGAGGTTTTTAAGGCCCGGCTTGACAAAGCGCTGGCTGGGATGATTTAGTTGGGGTTGGTCCTGCTTTGAGCAGGGGGTTGGACTAGATGACCTCCTAAGGTCTCTTCCAACCCTAATCTTCTATGATTCTGTGAACCAATGTGAATCTTTCTCCAGAACCATGATATTTCCTCACATTTTGGTATCCGTGTAAATAGAAATCAAATGATACAGAGTTACTTTGCCATTCTTGTTTTTCTTACATAATGCCTTGCCATATGCTCTGGAGAGTCAGACTTGATTCAAGACTGAGAGCAAATGTACATGTACAATTAAAACGGTGTGGCATTTTGAGGTACCTACCTGGCCAAAGCAGGGACTGGTACTCCTCGTGCTCGTATTGGTGGTTTTCCGCGAACAACTGGAACTTCTGCATTTTCTGAACCACCATTCAAATATGTTAATTCTTGGAGCTGTGCCTGTCTGATTTCATCATTGTAGTCCTAGACAGAAGAAAGGAATGGAAAGCTATTCAACCAACACAGAAAAATACTTATCTCAAGGACTGCTTCTAAAAAAGTATTTTTCATAATATTCTAGATGAATTTTTTGTTGAAAACCCTTTAGAAACAACAATACAGAAAAATGTGGCAATGGGAACACCCATTTAATCTAAAATATGATTAGAACCTTCAAATAAAACGTGTTTTTTAATTATATTTTTGCTTGCATCGTGTTTTCCTCTCTGAGGCTGCCCATTACCTCCAGCATATTTTCTATTAAACAAAAACAAACAAAACCAAACCAGTAAAATAGAGGGGGGTCTTTACTGACTAGCGAAAACAATTATCATTACTTAAAACACTATATATGCCTCTTAACAATTTAGAATGAGTATCAGGCAAGAGCTGATGGTGGAATCACATTCCACTGCAAAGTGTTGAAAATCCCATCACTTCATTTCAGCTTGTCAGATCTGATGAATTTTCAGCCGAAGGCATTTTGACTGCAGGCCAGTGTACCACAGGGAGAAATCCTGTGATGGTGGAAGGTAGATTAAATGACCTGCCCCAGTAGCTCAATTTCATCTTTAAGTTCTGATTCTATGAATTTCTCTCACATATAGGAGTAATTTTATCCAAATAACAAACATACTGAGTGCTGAAAATATTTTCAATTGAAAAATCTAAAATAGACTTGTATAAGTAAACTGAGGACACACTAGATTTATTTGCTTTCCTCGATAGAGCTACTCATAAGTAAACTGAAGAATTCATAAAGAGTTATTTATAGAGAGTTAGTAGAATACTTCTCAAACACATGCAGACCTTGAAATACCATAAGGTATCCTTCAAATCCGGTGCGCTATATAGGAATGAAACAGATGTTGTGAGCTAATGCGAAGTCAGAGCTGAATTTCTTTATCATCAAATTCCATTCAGTATAAATGAGCCAAGGATTGCAGTTTTAGTGTAAAGCAAGAAAAAAAGATTGTATTCAAAACAAACAGGCTCCTCCATGTACCAGTAATAAGCGCTGGTTCTCACATCATTTCACTCTTGTTAATTCAACAACTACATTGTCTCTACTCCTTTTCAACCAAAGTGGAAGACTTTTATTCAAACACTGCCAATAGTTACAATTCTAATGAAGGAAGAAAGGAAAATCTATCAATGTGAATGCGACCAAAGAAATATCAAATGTTGCCTTATGTACTTTACTATGAAGCACAGAAACTGAACAAACAAAAGGGTTAATGCCACTCTAAGAACACTGGCACCCATCTGTCAGATGTTGTGCCTCCTCTCAATTGTAAGGTGTTTTTCTTTTAAAAAAAACAAAAAAACAAAAGAAGCCTTGGGTTTTCCCTCATAGTTCGTTCCAAGCCTTTTGGTTGAAACACAGATTCTAAACAGCGATGTTACCAGTTAAGCATCTTTGTACACCTTTGGGATGTTAATTCAGAGAGGATAGGTTGCAGTTCACTCTCCATTCAGGCAGAAAGGCTGCAGCAACCAATCAGTAAGTAAGGCTAGGTCTACACTAGAGAGCTTACAGCGACACAGCTGTACTGATGCAATAACACCTCTCACATAAAAAGAAAAGGAGTACTTATGGCACCTTAGAGACTAACCAATTTATTTGAGCATGAGCTTTCGTGAGCTACAGCTCACTTCATCGGATGCATACCGTGGAAACTGCAGCAGACTTTATATATACACAGAGAATATGAAACAATACCTCCTCCCACCCCACTGTCCTGCTGGTAATAGCTTATCTAAAGTGATCATCAGGTGGGCCATTTCCAGCACAAATCCAGGTTTTCTCACCCTCCACCCCCCCACACAAATTCACTCTCCTGCTCTCTCACGTAGCAGCTCTATGCTGACAGGAGAGAGCTCTCCTTTTTGTGCCCTTCTATAGATGCCTTCTGTGACAGTTTTATTTCCAGGACCTTGTTCTTTCTAAAGCAACTGCTTCAGTAAACTGTTAATACTTTAAACTTGTGTAAGCAGCAAAGATTTTACTGCAATAAGATCTTAGATTAATACCCACATGTCAGTTATTTCCATAGGGGGAGGGATATTTCATTCTGATTGACATACAGTACAGAAAGGCAATTCGAACATAACATGTCTATTTCTGCACCTGATGTATGACAAGTCATGATGGATGGGAATTGTATATAGGAATCCCTTAGCTACAAAATACCAAATTATAAACAAGGTGTACAATGAAGAACATTCAAGAAGCACTAGATGAGCACAATAAGTAGGATGCATTGGCCAAAGTCCCCCACTAAGGAAAGCAGAGGTGACTAGTCTGCAGAGTTTTGATAAGGCATTATATGGATGCCCTATATAACTCCTATCCATATGCATGTCTGCACCAGAAATTGTCAAAGCCCCAGACAAAACAGCTTTGACTCCTAAGGGATGGGGTGGATTAGATTTTTGGTAAGTTTCTTTCCTATATATTTATTTACTAGGCTGGAGCAGACCTGATCCAGTAGACCCTGATCTGGATTCTTCAATTAAAACTAACAGACATTCTGATTTATGAATTGCAGCCATTAAAATTTTGGCGAATAGCATGCTTTTCCAGTGACATTTGGGAGATGGTTAGAAGGTACACATGAATATCTTCTGTTTAGCCTGGAAAGAAGAAGGGAGTGGGGGGCATTTCAGATTGCTTTCATCTCTAAGATGACACTGACTTTGTCAGCCAGATACTTTTGAGAAAAGTTTTAAGTTGGTGAACTTCCCCGCCTGGGAGACTGGCATCCCTTATGAATGTTGTCCATTCTAGTTATCTTATCTCCATTCTTCTAAGCAGTTTGACATATTATAACCATGGAGGAAAGTACTGGACAACATCCTAAGGAGGCTGACCTTCTTGGGGTCTCTCTTCACAGAAAAGCAAGACAACTGAATTGTAGCCTGGCCCAGGAGACTTGAGTATGCTGGCATATCTCTCTCTCTATCTCTCAGGTATGAATCTGACATTTTTAGGGACTTGGGGAACCAAAAGGACCACAAGCATATTAGAAATGTTGAGATTTTGGAGCAAAAACGTAAGAATTTCTATCTTTTACGGGCATATACCGTATTATCTTGGAGATCAATAGACGTTAGATTCTATCAATAACCCAGGATTACCTAGTTTATAATTATTAATAAAATATTTTATTAAGCACGATCCACCTGGAAAAATATTCATGGTGTTGAACAATCATAAAAACAATTTATCATTCATTAATAAAAACACCCTGACCTCAAAGTTACAAACAAGGTGGATAAATAAAACACACAGATATTTTACTATTTAAAAAAAATTACATTTTTCATTTGCAAATTAGATCCATAAATCCAGTATGAATTGTATCCCTCCTCACATCTTCCAGACAATACATTTATAATTGTCTGTCTGTCTCTGTCTGATTTAGACACTAATTGCTGATCTTAGAATCATAGAATATAAGGGTTGGAAGGGACCCCAGAAGGTCATCTAGTCCAACCCCCTGCTCGAAGCAGGACCAATTCCCAGTTAAATCATCCCAGCCAGGGCTTTGTCAAGCCTGACCTTAAAAACCTCTAAGGAAGGAGATTCTACCACCTCCCTAGGTAACGCATTCCAGTGTTTCACCACCCTCTTAGTGAAAAAGTTTTTCCTAATATCCAATCTAAACCTCCCCCACTGCAGCTTGAGACCATTACTCCTCGTTCTTATGTACAAGGGATAGGATATTGTATTTTGGACTATGAGATTAGGTATGCCAGATTTCTGGATAGAGGGGAAGACCTGTACAAAGCATGCCGTAACTCATGTGAAATACTGATATCACCATCTGTCCACTTTTATTTATACCTAGCATTTCCAATACTATGACAGACCTCCTCCAACAGGGATGGGCTGGTGAATTTGGTTTCAGCCAATCAGAAGAATTCATAGGGATTTATTTCAGAGGCCACAGTGGAAGAAGAACAGAATTTCATAATAGATTCTTCCTCTAAACACTTGAAAAAGGGAAATGAATATACAAAAGCTTTGACTCAGAGGACATGTCCTTTCTGCCACTGTTACAGGTGGAAACCTTGTTTTCAGACCTCCAAGTTATCAGATCCTTTCACAGCATCTAAATACACAGATGGTTGTATTCAAAATACATTCAACGGAGAGAGTGCATAGCTTTGTGTTGATGTAAATGTTTTGGATGATGGTGAGCTACTATCGCAGAAGCTGTATAAGCTTGGACTCCTTTAAAAAAATTGGAGCACGGTCAGACAGGAAAATAAGTTATTTAGCAGGCCTTGATTTTTCAGCCTCCTGGGAATAGGATCTCAAAACTCTCTCTCTCAATGGAAGTCTAATAAAACACAAAAGGACTTATAACCATATGAAGGAAACAGTACACATGAAGATGTACCTTGTGAAGACAGGCATTTTGACAGGCAGGCATCCATGATGGAGATCCTTCTACTCTTTAGTAAGACCTATCGAACTTGTTCCAAGCAAGTTTGTTCTCTAGGATTTAGCCATGGAGCTTCCAGACCATTAACACTCAACTATTTACAATAAAATACCAGAATAGTGTCAACTGAGAGTACTTGCAAAAGCAAAGAGAGGAGTTCCAATGACCATCAGAGGCCGTAAGAAGGAACTGAGGGGGCTCAGAGTCAGCTGGGCCTTTTATGTGGATGCCAGTGGCATGCAGCAGCAGAAGGTGCCCTAGCTGCCCCAACAGGTATCGCTGAGGGAAAATTTGCAGTGACTGTGAAGGGGGGCACATGTTCACCAGGAGCGGTCTGCACATGTACACTCACTCAAAGAAGAACTTTCAGTTTATGCTGCAAATAGAAAATAAAAAGTATAGGTAATATTTTTGTTCTAATGAAACTAAACGGTACAAGAATGACCTCTCTGCTCTGACAACCATGCTGCCCCCAAATATCTGTTTGCTTTGGTAGGAAGAACAGTTAGTTCAGCAAGTTGTGGTTAAATA